ATGTACATCCGAATCAGAAAATTTGTGTGTATTATGTTAATAGTTGATGTGTATTATGTTAAAAGTTTATGTTTATTATGTATTATGTTAGATTATGTGTATTATCTTTTAAAAAGAGTATGTATATTTTGTTATATAATTATGTACATTCATGTATAACATTATGTGTATTTTAGTATAACATTATGTACATTCTTGAACAGCGGGTTTTTTTTAAGAAAAAATTACTGCCATTCACTGGGACGGGAAATTTCAAAAAAAAAAAATAATTAAAACAACGTCGTTTTGCATCTGGGCGCATAGTGCAACGCGCGCCGTGGTGTAGGATATAAATTGCCCATTTCCCGAGGTCAATGAGATGAAGTCCGTACTCAGCTTTTAGGCTTGTTAATGTGCCACAACGCCCAACCAATTAACAAACATTTTGGTCAGACCTTACATCGCATTCAAAACCCTAAAACTACATCTACCACCAAAACAACTACATCTACAAAAATATTTCAATAGTACTCTCTTGTATTTAAAGTAAAACTTTGTATATATTATTGACACTCAACTAATATATGCGTAGTCTAAAATTCAATAACTACATTAAACGTTAATTGATACAAAGTTAAGCTCCATAATAGTAAACTCATTAAACTCATGTTATTCAATTTATAACACTTGAACCAGATTAACTATAATAAAAGGAAGAATACTATTTTGGTTTTGTAAAAAAATAAAAAATAAAAAAAATTTAACAAATATGTTACCCAATGATGTGTATGGTGTTGGGAAAAATATATAAACAATAATACAATCAAATTGTCAGTTTAAACTTTTAATTGAGATAAAAAAAATCATTCAATTCATCGTTATATATCACAATTACTTTACATTAATTGATTACCTATAAACTAACTTGTTATATGTCACAATTACTTTAAAGTAATTGATTACCTATAAACGGACTTACCATATCATGAGTTATGTAGAATTATGTTAAACTATAAAATTTTATTTTAATTATAAAAAGTTACTACATACTCCTTCTGTCTCATTTTATCTGACTTTTTTTTTTTGTTTGTTCCAAAATGTTGTCATCTTTTCATAATTGAACATCACCATCATTCTACTTTTTCCAATTTACCCTTATGAGTTTTGCTTCTTTATTGCCTTTATTTATAAAAGTGAAAAAAGTGAGGAACATAATTGAAAAGAGTTAATTCCATTTTGGTCCTAAAAATTTATAGGTGACAGCCACTTTAGTTCTTTTTCAGAACATCCCATTTGGTCATAATATTATTGTGACATGACTATTTTTTGTCCCTCGCCAACAAAATCGTTGAAATGTCGTTAAATACAATGACATTTCAATCTTTTCTATACAAAGTGGGTTGACCCGCTATATTTTTATTTTTATTTTTTTGAAAAAAAATCATAATTGAAGACCTAAATGCCTTTGTATTTTACAACTAATTTTTTACGCGCATTGCGCGATTGGGATAATGCCCAATGTTTTTTTAATAAGTACTTTAAAGTATATTAAGGCAAGATTATATTGCAATTGTTCATGTATAGATAATTGAATGTTGAATTTGCGTATTTAAATATGTAATTCTAAGTTTACAAATGCAAGATCAGATAATATAGTCAAGATTGATTATAATTGTCAATATTATAATTGTATTGGTATGGTTGAAACCAAATACGAGACATAAGGGAGAGCAATTAAAAATTAGGGCATGAAATGTTAAATATATACTAATATTGAAGATGTAATTGCTGGTTGCCAAAGAAGGACATTGCGAGGTAGTTTTCCACCTCAATTTGTTGTGTGATTTGAATACTCTTTTTGTTAATAATTTTCCCAAATAGTTAATATGATTGCCTTAATTATATATATATATATATATATATATTAATATATTAAAACAATTATTATTATTATTATTAAATATATGTATACCCTCAGGTCAGTTTACATGTTAATCTAAACAGCTAAGTTTTTTAAATATCTTTTTACCAACCGTTGATATAATTCGCTGGTCAAATTCGCAAATATAATCCGCTAACGCTAACCGTTAACTGCCGATTGTCAAACAAGGACATTGCGAGGTAGTTCTCACTTCAATTTGTTGTGTGATTTGAATACTCTCTTTGTCAACAAAACCCGTAGTTAATATGATTGGCCTTATTAATTATATTTTTTTAATTTTTTTATGGTATTAATAAAATACTTGGTAAATAAATATATAGCATTATTTTGTATTATAACTTTGATATTTAATTAAAAAATAGTGCACAAAAAGATAATAGACAATATAGTGAACAAATCAATTGATGAATTTGAATGTAAAGTATTTTTACGTTGGAGAAATATAAAGACAATATAACTAATATAATTATTTCTCTTAATTAATTTATTGATAATGAATATTCTTTTTAATAAAGACATTGTAGGGACAATGTAGCGAATATAATTATTATTTAATTTAATAAAAGTCTGATATAGTACTAATTATGCAAACTTTGATTGGGATGAGTTTGAACCTAAAACCTTTCTTATTGAAATCAATGAGTAAATTAATGGTGAACTAACAGAAATTAACGGAAAAGTTAACGGATAATCATATTCATTAAGGATAAATTAGTAAATCTTAAGAAAAAAATAAAATCTGATCAATCTGAGCCATTCATTTGATTAAAAAATTTGACCGCCATTTTTTCTACCCATTATAGGCCTAACTCTCTTGGGCTCTTATTAGTATAGTAGAAATTTAAACAATTCTGTTAATGGATGCCACAATAATATTAGCCCAAATAGGAATCTTTTGAAAATAAAATGACTAAAAGTTTCCAATTAACTCTAATTGAAAAACACATAACATTTACTACTTTAGTTCTTTAAAAAGTGTCCAAAAAGTAAATGTGACAACCAATTAAGGACGGAGGGAGTATATCATTAAAAAAAAAAAAAAATCTCAATTTTTAAACTTTTTTGAAAACTATCATTTTTCATAATACACCATTTTAAAGAGTAAAACATGGATGTGTAGTAGTTAAACCATATAAGTTTAATAATGAAACATTCCTTCTCTTCCACTGTCAAAAATAAAATAAACATATAGTTCACTACATTCTGCTAATTTTACCAAATAATTATATCTTCGGTCTTAATTATAACACCTTCCAGGTTTCTAGAGCTAATTTTTTTAAAGTTTTTTACTAACATTGCTAGGAATGTGTCAAGCAAAGTTTGAACCTTATCTCTAGCGGTCCTCATCAGCTCAGCCAATTGGGCAGATATCATTTTCCTTTGATTTTTTTTATTCTCTCAAAAGATTGAATTCCCAACTCCAAGGCCCCCACACCTTGACCCGATAAAACATTTAAAAAGATGTAAATCACGATAATTCAATGACTCAGCAGACAAAGCCAAATGCCGATGTGCATAAGCGATATGTCCACTTTAAGCATAATCCCCATACTATTACTGTTAAAATTTAAACATTGCCTACTAAACCAGTGAGGTAAGCCCGTGCAGACTCCTTTGATTTTTTCCCTGCAAGAGTAGGTGAGGCATAAAAATAATATGACTGCAAATGGGTAATATTTACATGTTATTGAATGTTGATATTTCCATGCATCTTCCAATAGTAGTTGGTGCCAAATAAGTAAAAGGGGTTTAAATAATTATTTAAATTTTAAACCAATAGCGTGTTTTGATCTAATTTAAGTGCATATATAAAAATAGTATTATTTCTAAAAATATTAAAAAATTATTAAAAAAAAAAATAGTATAACCACATGCAAATATGCAATTGCTAACTTTACACCATGTTACTTCATTAAAGCAATCTTTGCTTTTAGTCAGCAGTATTATTAATTTATTAACAATAATATATAGTCAATTATATAATATAAGAATATGATGATAGCAGAATATATACGCGGTTTCCCTCTCTTCTAAGTTCTAATCCTTATTGCCAACTGCCAAGCCAACTTTGATCTAGACTATTCATATTTCATTCAACTAACATTTGTCAACCAAAAAAATTAAAGTCTTTGTTATACCCGTTAAATGAAAATTATTATATTTGATTATTTCAAATCAATCACAAAAATGACACACGTCCAACTATATCGACTAAGGGGTGTCCCTTAAACATTCAATTGCACGTGTTTATTGACCGACTCACTATCAAACAAGCTAAGCTAATTAGAAGATGATATTTTCTATCTTATGACTATAAATTTAAAAAAGAAATACTTAATACTCTATTCGATCACTATGTTATTTTAATTTACACACATGTCACTTTTTATAGAGTTTGAGATTTGTTTACTAACACGGATATACTTTTAGTGATGAGGGGCAAATGGACAATGGGGGAGATATTCCAAGGTTAGTTTAATCATAAGGAAACTAATAATAACAAATACTGTTGAGGGAAATTCAATGTGTATGTTTTACTTAGAAACAGTTAAGAGTATGATTTACATGACATAGTTTTTAGGCAGCCTATATGCTATTATTTCCTTGATTTAAGCTAGAGTTGTAAATTTAAGTTGTTAGTTGTTAAAGAGAAAATTCATGACCACATGCAAAATGATTTGTGAATTTAGAGATCAAATAAGATGAATTCTGCCCCCTATACTAGGCACGCAATAGTCCGGCGCTTAATTAAGAAGTTGCATTTATAACTCACATTTTAATGGCAATGAAAAAGTTCAAGCTCAGTCAAAAACAATTTAGAGATTGGGCTCCTTGCACAAAAGTGTACCGTTTGTCAACTTAATTCAGATATTAGTTCGGCAAAATTAGAATACTTAGAATATCAAAAGAATATATGTGTGTGTGTGTGAGATGAATTTTTTGGAACTAGTCCAACACTATTGCTTCATGGCTTCATCCGAGCTGAGATTTGTCAACTGGCCAAAAATATTGACCAGTCCAAAGTATGCTGCCAATATATGTTTAACTATAAATACATGCATCTCAGAGCGAGGATTCCCAGATCAACCAATTCTCCAATACATACACTTTTTATTCTTTTATAAAACTATTCTTTCATTGATATAATTTAATCACTTTAATTTGTTGTTTGGGCACCAAGATGATGACAATAAGGTTTGTGCGTGTTTGCTTAGTCCTCTTAGCCGCCTTTGCTTCCGCGAATTCAGTAGACGCTAAAGTTCGGCATTACAAATGGGATGTAAAGTACGAGTTGAAGTCGCCGGATTGCTACAAGAAGCTGGCTATTACCATCAACGGCAAATCTCCGGGACCCACCATCGTGGCTCAACAAGGTGACACCGTTGTGGTGGAGGTCAAGAACAGCTTGTTAACTGAAAATCTCGCCATCCATTGGCATGGCATCAGACAGGTGAGTTTAAGTTATGATTAATTAAGCAGCTCTCTCTCATCTCATCTGGTTTTCCAGAAATTAATTTCATGGTGGTATATGAATTTGTACTGTGTTGTTTTAAATGGTTTCAGATAGGAACTCCATGGGCTGATGGCACAGAGGGGGTGACCCAATGCCCAGTTGTGGCAGGAGACACTCACGTTTACAAATTTGTTGTCGACAGAGTAAGTTAATTGCCACTTTACTGTTTTATCAGATTAAAGAACAAGATTCTTGATCATCATGTTATGGGATTCATAGTGTTGGGTGGAGGCTGATAAAGGTCAAGTCTAAGCACTCGGTGGCTGGATAATTGTTAGGCTGATCGAGATCCATAAAGTGTAAAGGACAAGTCCATTACCCAAGTTGTACCTTAAGTGGTAAGCTAGCGTTTGATTCTAATACATAGTTTGTTGATTTGCAGCCGGGAACATACCTCTACCATGCTCACTATGGAATGCAAAGACAAGCAGGGCTACAAGGAATGATCCGAGTTTATGCCGATTCCGAACCATTTGAGTACGACTATGACCGCAGTATTCTCCTCACAGATTGGTACCACAAGACCACTTATGAACAAGCTACTGGCCTTGCCCTTCCTGCACCTAACTTCACCTGGGTTGGAGAGCCTCAGGTAATAATTTAATTAATTTACTCCGATCCATCAAATTTGTTGACAGAGCTTGCTTATTCAGATTCTAATCTGGTTAATATTTACATACTTATCACCAATTATTTGTAAAATTTTCAGTCACTTTTGATACACGGAAGAGGAAAATTCAATTGTAGCAGTGCAAGCAGCGATGCCGCCGTCTGTGAAGCCACAAATCCGCAGTGTTCGCCGTATTCCATGACCGTTGTCCCCGGCAAGGTTTACCGCCTTAGGATTGGAAGCTTAACCGCCCTTTCGGCTTTAAGTTTTGAAATAGAGGTAAATTATATTAAATTTCGACATCACTAAAAGCGTAAGCGTATGAACAAGGTTGTGTATAAGTTACAAAAACATAATATATATATTTTTTCTTGTTCTATAGGGTCATAACATGACGTTGGTGGAGGCTGACGGCCATTATGTTGATCCATTTGTTGTGAAAAATCTGTTTATTTATTCTGGGGAGACATATTCTGTACTGGTCAAAGCTGACCAAGACCCTTCAAGGAACTATTGGATAAGTTCAAAAATTGTGAGTAGACCCAGCAACACCTCTAATGGATTGGGCATATTCAATTACTACCCAAACCATCCTAAGAGAAATCCCCCAACCACTCCACCTGCGGGGCCGCACTGGAACGACACCGAGCCCAGGGTAAAGCAGAGCCTGGCGGTGAAGGCCCACCCGCGTTTCGTCCACGCGCCGCCGAGAACCTCCGACCGTGTCATCGTCATGCTCAACACACAAAACCAAATCAATGGGGTTAGAAGATGGTCTGTTAATAATGTCTCCTTCAACTTACCCCACACCCCTTATCTCATCGCCCTCAAGCACAAACTCTTGCACGCTTTCGACCAGACACCCCCGCCGGAGGACTACGACCACCGAACCTACGACATCTTTTCCGTCCAAAACAACACTAACGCCGTGGCCAGCAACTCCATTTACAGGCTCAAGTTCAACTCCACAGTGGACATAATTCTGCAAAACGCCAACACCATGAACCCTAACAACAGTGAGACCCATCCTTGGCATTTGCACGGCCACGATTTCTGGGTGTTGGGGTACGGGTCCGACAAGTTCAACCGGTCCAGTGACCCCAAAAACTACAATCTTGAGAACCCGATCATGAAGAACACAGTCCCGGTTCATCCCTACGGCTGGACTGCTTTGCGGTTCCGGGCAGATAACCCTGGGGTTTGGGCATTCCATTGCCATATAGAGTCGCATTTCTTTATGGGAATGGGTGTCGTTTTCGAGGAAGGAATTGAGAAGGTGGGGAAATTGCCTTCTTCGATTATGGGATGTGGTGACAGCAAAGGCTTCGGACGACCCTAGGCCATAACATAGGACATAGACAGATACACTTACATTATATTCTTTTATGAATTTATCTTTTAAAAGACTTTAGATTTATCCTAAAGAAAAAAGACAATTATTTATTTGTCACATGTATGGCGGCAAATCGCTTTCATAAAGATTGTTTTATTCTTTTTCTATTTCATGTTGTAAACCTACAATCTATATATATATATATATATATATATATATATATATATATATATATATATATAATCACACTCAGGTGCAAATGCTTCGCCCAGACGCGAAATAGGAATGAATTCTGTTCGTCCACGTATCCAGATCTAATGGGTTCTTTTTTTATTAAACTTCCTCCATCTCTCTCTTAAAAAAAATTCGTGTTATTTTTATTTTTTTTGTTAATCATGCTATCCCTTTCTCAGAATCATGATGCGTGATGGATAGTATACTAGGCCTGGGCCACATGGACCGGCCTAAGAAAACAATTAGATCAAGGAAGCCTGAGAAAGATACACGACACAGAGTAACTAACCCAAGAGATTGTCAAGAATTGGACCTATTATTCCTAATATAATTAGAATTGGACTTGTTATTTCTAATATAATAGAATTAGGTCTCATTAGTCATTATGTAACTAAGGCTCCCAATATGAGTCAATTTAGAATTCTTATTCCTACCTTGTAGGGTTCTAGGCCCAAAATATGTATAAATATACCCCTCACATAAAGGATAAGAGGCAACTTTCACTTTTCATGAGTGATACTCATTTTTTTTTACAAAGGAAGGGGGACACCCACATATACTATCTACGCCTTCACCAAGGCTCAAACCTAAGACATCCCACATAAGGGGCCAATCAGATACCAGTGGACTACAAGCCACTTGGTATGAGCAATACTCATTAATACAAAGTTCCTATATTTCCTCCATATATTTATCCTATTTTCTTATTATTTTAATTGTAGTGTTGGCTTGCCGTTGACTGCCCAAAAGTCATAAAACCAACATTGGCGTCGTCTTTAGAGATCGATACGAAAAGTTTACGTTCCTTCCTCAAACGTAATACACCAATCGCGAAACCCGGGACCTATTTCGGAGACGATAAAAGAAGGGAGCGACATGCTTCAATTCTAGTTTGGCAGCAAATTGATCTCGGCGGCAAGATTCTTCGTTTGTAGTGACAAAAATTATTCCTAGGTGGCAACGAATTCTTGCAAGCAATTCCTTGGCGCGACGAAATAACCTAGCCGCAACAACTACGATTTTTCAGTGGGCAGTAGCAGTTTATTTTGGGAATTAATTTTTCGGCGATGATTCTCTAGGCATTAATTGTTTCTGCTGTGCTTCAGTTTACTTCCACAACAATAATCTTCATTCTGGCCAGCAAAGCAATTAATTTCTTTTCCATATGGATACGACTAAGGACATCCCAATTTTGAAGCCAAAAATACAAACAGACACGTGATGACTAAGAGGGAATCCAAACACGAGAAAGGGTGTCGTGGGCTCAAATTTTACTGCACGTAGGAGGTTTTGGGTCTTCATACATGAACCTCCATGGTAGATTCAAGAAGAAGAGAGTACAGATAGCCGAGAACCACGCGATCGACCGCGATTGAGCATTTACCAGTCGACATAATAAAAGAAAAGTATTTCTGTTATTATTATTATTTATTTTTTATGATATTTTTATCAACTATTTAATGTGCCCAACTACCAACTTATTCAAATGAAACCAATATTGTGAAAAGTTCTACCCACCACATAATATAGCAAGCTCCGCGCTGTCAACTATATTACATGTCAAGTTCCTCACTCATATTACATGACAAGCTCCACGCTGTCACTCAAATTACATAACAAGTTCTGTGCTGTCACTTCCATTACATGACAAGCTCCATGCTGTCAGCTAATTTACATGGTTAGCTCTGCGCTACCTATAACAATAATGGTAGCAAATGAGTAAGTACGCAGTTGGTCACAAGAAAGGAAGATAGGAACTTCTTAACCTATCTTTTAATCAAGAATCTCATATTTAGTCAAAACTAAAGGCATGACCCTCTAATCAGATGTTATTTATTTATCTTGTAGGAAATAATTACCAAAAGCTTATCGGATAAGAAGAATCACTTGAGATTCAGCCAGAAGGAGTTAATGGCATGAAAGAAGACTCTTTATAGTCCTAAAGATTGCACTCATAGTTGTACTCTTTTTCCCTTAGCTAAGCTTTTTCCTACTGGGTTTTTCATAGACTAAGGTTTTTAACGAGGCAACTAGCGTAATCTGGGCCCCCTACACTCAGCTCTGGCTTAGGGGCTCACCATGGACCGCTTAGTTTAACGGTTGCATTCAAAAAGACCACCACCTAGAAGACTTGACTTTTAGAAGTGAAGAACGGATCAGAGAATATTTTTGAGATACTTTCCTTAGATATCGACTTCGCAAAATCTCAAGAAAGTGAGGGACTAGATGATGGATAGTATACTAGGCCTGGGCCACATGGATCGGCCTAAGAAAACAATTAGATCAAGGAAGCTCGAGAAAGATACACGACACAGAGTAACCCAAGAGATTGTCAAGAATTGGGCCTATTATATTATTCCCAATATAATTAGAATTGGACTCATTATTTCTAGTATAATAGAATTAGGTCTCATTATGTAATTAAGACTCCCAATATGAGGTAGTCTAGAATTCTTATTCCTTGTAGGGCTCTAGGCCCAAAATATGTATAAATAGACCCCTCACATAAATGAGGGGTGGCAACTTTCTCTGAGCAATACTCATTAATACAAAGTTCCTATATTTCCTCCATATATTTCACTTATTTTCTTATTATTCTAACAGTAGTGTTGACTTGCCGTTGACTGCCCAAAAGTCATAAAACCAAACCAACAATGCGATAAACCAGATATTATCAAATTCAAAGTTACTGTATCTCGGTAAACCATATTTAAAAACAATGCACTAGCAGCTTCAATGAGGCCACACTTTGAGTACATATTGTTCAAAGCATTCCCAACACATGCATGTAATGAATTTCCATACCCAAGTGCTGCTGCTAGACTAGCACAAGCGTTTAGCAGCACCGCATATCCATTTGTGGGGACATTTTGAGTGCTTCCTCAAAGCACTCACTCTACAGGTAGTCTAAGACACCACATTTCGAGTTTGCAGAGAGTCAAAGACTTTTCTTGCACAAAACATTTCACAACATTTTCCATACATGTCCATTATTACACTACCAATAAAGAAATCAAACTCTACACTGGACTTCAATAACTTCCATGCACTTGCAAACCAAAATTCAAACTCTTAAGCCGAGCACAGATACTAAAAGCATTAACATATGTGACATTATCCCATGTTAAGCCATCGCCCACCATTCTTTTCAAAATGGCCAATGCTTCACTTACATACTCGCCATCCAAAAGGCCATTGATAAAAGAATTGTAAGTGACATTATCCGATCCTGAATCCAATACCCTCATAGTTCCGTCCACATCTAAAGAAATCGAGTAAATGTTGACAAGCCCATTCTTCACATACTGATGAGACAACAACCCGGACTTCACCAAATACCCATGAAACTGCCGCCACTCATCACACAAACCACTGCTTGATCAAGCAGAAAGAACTGTCGATAAAACATACTCATTGAACATGCACTGTTGGGAGCAGGCGGCCATTGGGGGTTCAGAGAAAGCTTGAAGTTGGAGTTGATCAGGGAGTTTTAAACACTAAAAGGGCTTATCTACTTTGTCCTAACCGAATCATTATAATAGCCTGCCTATTATAATATAATATACGGTCTCCACGACCTTATGATGTCGTCGTATCTATTTATCTATTTCCTATTTACGTTCTTATCTGGGTTTATGATGGATTTAATTAATCCGGGTGGTCCGAATTATCAAATCCGATAATTAAAGAGTAAGGATAATATGGAAAATAAGGATAAAATAAATGCAAAGTAGCGGGTAGATATATGTCGCGGGGACAATATCGTATTGATAATATGTTGTAAGATGATTACAATGGATATTGCTATTATAATAGAAGATTGGACAATGAAGATGCTGTAATTGAACCCGATCACTTATGTCAAAACAATGCAAATATTTATACAAAATATGGGACAACAAACTCTCTTAAAGTCCAATCGTTATGCTATGGACCCGTGTCTAGCATACATTGTGGACACGGTAACGGTGCCGTTAGTGGCACCGTTATCTTTCACAATTGTTTTTTAAAATTTCAGACCGCTTCGTTATAGGAGCATGTGTTCATAATTTTATCACTATATGTTCATAATTGTAAGTTCATAATGTCAGAGCTCTGTGTTCATAATTTCATAACTGTACATTCATACTTCTATAACTGTACATTCATAATTCCGTAACTGTACATTCATAATTCAATAACTTTAAATTCACAATTTTCGAAGCTCTATGTTCACAATTTTAGAGCTCCATGTTCATAATTTTATCACTATATGTTCATAATTGTAAGTTCATAATGTCAGAGCTCTGTGTTCATAATTTCATAACTGTACATTCATAATTCCGTAACTGTGAAACAACGTAAATCCGGATTCTATTTAGGGATTAATTAAGTAATTAATTAATTCTAATCCAATTGGTAATTTAATTTTTTAAATTCTTGAAAATTTAATAGTCGGGGATTAGTAATTGACTAGTCAACCCAAATCAAGATGTTGTACCTAAAGCTTTGTGAATAGTTCCCTTGTTCCCTTACACTTTTGATCTTAGTAAGGGAAAAGAAGACATTTCCCTTATGATTGTATACCAAGCTAACCTAGAAGACATCTTTCATTTCTCTACTAACACTTTGAAATCAAAAGCTCTCCCTTCTCTCTAAAAACCTAGCTAGCTTTCTCTCCAAGCTAAGTTTAGACTTTCCAAGATCTTCAAAGTTTGTCTCCAAGATTCCATGTGACACCCCGAAATCCAAATTCAAATAATAGATTAATTGAGTAATTAATCCTATTTCACTTGAGGATTTAATTCCTAAAATCCTGAAATTTAATACTTGAGGACTAGTATT